GCTCGGTGGCAGCTAGGGTTGGGAACCGAAACTCGGTTCCAGATGAGAACCGATAAGAAAATGCCGGGTACCGGGTACCCATACAAAATACACAATTTCGGTTTCTGCTTAACGGTTCCTAAACGCGGTAGACCTTGTATTCCAGCGGGTCCGTCTGTACCGCGGTGCTGCGGTGACCCGGTGGAATACAGGGCGGACCTGGAGAATCACAGAACGGCCGGTCGTCAGCGGGCCGTTGACGGCCGGCTCGGTACGCTGACGGCCGGCACCGCCCTTCATTTTTTTAAACGGCATCATATAAATTGCGCTGACAGGCGACAGAGGTCCACAGTTGCCCCGCAGCGATGCTCCCCCGCCCTCCCGTAGACATTTCACGAGCTCAGTCACTTCATAACACCAAAGATAGGTCGCGGTAAACACTCTGAAGTGAGGCTCCACTACACTAAAAAGAAAAAGAAAAGGCAAAGTGTAATGCCTGTTAATAGCTTGCCACAGGCATAGCTCAGTTAAAATAAAGCACAGCTATTGTGCAATACATTTGTATTGCATGTATATTTTTTAGTAACAATTTCAGTTAAAGCTTTTAAGAATAAATATATTTTTGTTATCTAAACGTTTGACCTCTTTATTTTACAATTTTGGAATCGAAACGGGGAATCGATAAGAACCGGAATCGATAAGCAGAACCGGAATCGAAATCGGAATCGATAAATTTCAAACGATACCCATCCCTAGTGGCAGCAGGTCCCGCCTCGGCTTCGCCTCTTTGCCCTTATTTGGAGCAGGCTGGAACAGGCGGGAGTTGAACTCTGACGTCACTGTCGAGCCGTTAGTGGCCGACTCCGCCTACTAAGGGCTTCACGGCAACTCTGCAGAATCCTATGGGTGACGTCACGGACCCTACGTCCATTTATATATACAGTCTATGGTCTATACGTTACACTGTGCACTGTAATAGGACCAACATAAAATATATATTTTTGTGATTCCTTTAATATTTTATATCAATCTTAAAAATGGTCATCTAGAAAAGCCAGTGTGGTCAAACAACTTCATTCTTTCTTGGATAGAAAGACCTTCTTTTAAACTCTGCAAGCCAAAGAAAAGAAAGAGTCAAAGTTTGACTTCACTTGTTAGTACAGTTTAAGGACGTCATTGTGAGGTGTGAGGTTCAAAGTTGTTGATATGAAAAATAAATGTTGCATTTATCAAAAGTCACATTGTACCTTTGATCGGACTCCTCTGATCTGACGTGTGAGGGAGGATTTATCTTTCTTCTTCAGAAAAGCAGCATTACTTGTGTTTGTCCCATTGTCTTCTGAGAAAACAAGAGGGTACAATGTTTATCATCCTGACTAGCCCTGTTTAATAACTAACAGAAGCAATGTTTAATGTGTAAGTAGACATCTCACAAGTTGTCTTTAAATTTAACAATGTACACAAAATAAAGTGAGTCTCACTGAGGCTCTGTCCTGACCAAGGTTTGACCAAGTGACATCTTGGTGTGGTTCATCCAGGCTGGTCGTATGGAGGGCCTTGAGCTTGTTCTGGGCGTATATTTTGTCCTGTTGCGCACACACACACACACACACACACACACACACACACACACACACACACACACACACACACACACACACACACACACACACACACACACACACACACCACACACACACACACACACACACACACACACACACACACACACACACACACACACACACACACACACACACACACACACACACACACACACACACACACACACACACACACACACACACACACAAACGAGCTTAAATAATTAATCAGAATTCAGATTTCTTTTTAATTTCTGAACAGTTGCTATTTTCATGTTAAAGGGGTCCTATCATGCTTATTGTTCGTATTTGTATGTTGTGCCTCTGCTGTGACCATATACAGTAGGGCTGCACGGTATTGAAAAAAACTGACATCGCGATTCCCCCCCCCCCTGCGGTATATATTGCGGGTTTTTTAACCTGTTAAACCCCAAAGTCCCAGCGGGTACTTTACTTTTTTTTTTCACGACAGTGTCTCAGGGGATCGTAATATTTAAGAACCTATTAATGTGTTATACCAGATTAACGGAAATAATCTCAGCTAACTGACGATACAAACCATTTTTACCAAAACAAAACACAAGTCTCATAAGAAGCATCTAAATGACCCCTAAGCGAAAAATGCTAACGCACTTTGGCACAGAACTCAAGATAAAAGTACCCTTATTATTACTTATCGTAGCTGCACTTACAAGATATCCGATTAAAGCTGAGGTTCCACAGATTATTTAGGTATATAGTATCATCACTGAGTGATCTGAACTCGGACAGCGGAAGCAAACACAGACATCACAACACGTACCTTTACGTAGCTTCTAGGGGAGATGTCTCACCGTAGCTGTCAATCTGATCAAAAGACGTGTTCAATGGCATTAAAACGAGAAAGAAAAAACGCGGCTGAATCGGTTAATCCATAGGTTTTTAACGTCTCTGTATAAAAAAATTAATTTATAATCCATAATTCCATTTTTATGTAAATATCGCAGAGCAAAAGTTAGCTCCTAATGGTAGCTGCTGCTTCCGGTCTTGGCAATGCGGAAGTCTCACACACACACATGACCAAATAAGGACTGTGTGATTTCCCCTCGATTCCATTGGCTCTGACGGTCAGAAAGAGATGTCACATGTCAAAATCCAGCAAGGTGGGCCAGAGATATGGAAAATCCACCCAAATGGCCCCAAAAGAGGTTTTTTGTGCTAAATCTGTCTAAAAAGGTCAAATATCACTTGTTTTGCATCAATCTTGATCCAGAATGATTGTGATTGGTGGTTTGCTGTGCATGCAGGGGAAGTTCTACACACACCAACACATGAACAAATAAGGAGTGAGAGTGACGCGTAGCAAAAACCGGAAGCTGCATACACTCTGGTAGCTACCATTAGCAGCTAACTTTTGTGCTCCTATTTTTACAAAAAAATGGAATTATGGATTATAAACAATTGCTTCAAAGCCACAGATACATTATCAACCTATGGATCAACCGATTCAGCCGCGTTTTTTTTTCTCGTTTTAATGCCATTGAACACGTCTTTTGATCAGATTGACAGCTACGGTGAGACGATCTCTCGTAAAAGGTACGTGTTGTGATGTCTGTGTTTGCTTCCCCTGTTGCGAGATCGGATCGCTTAGATACTATACTTAAATAATCTGTGGAGTTTCAGCTTTAATCGGATATATTGTATGTGCAGTTTCGATAAGTAATAAGGGTATCTTTACTTTGAATTCTGTGCTAAAGTGCGTTAGCATTTTTTTTTTTAAATGAATAAAACCGCACGTCCCTGCGGTGTGAATACCGCACCGCGCATGCGCATACCGCGGTTATCGCCATGACACGGTATATCGTTCAGCCCTAATATACAGTCTATGGCTGTGACATGTCTCCATGCTTTAATGTTCAAAAAGGTATTTATTTGTCTCTTACTGCCTGATTGGTTGGCCGGCTCTGTTGTGATTGGTCAACCGCTTAGGTTAGTCCCGCCCATTAACTTACCACCGTACAATGTGTTTGAGTGTTAGCCTATGGAATTGTATGCAGCTCCCTTTAGGAAGTTGAATTCATTATGCTGTTTTAATGCAAAATGGTTTTATGATCTAGCAAGATTATAGGATATAAAGTTGAAAGAGATATCGTTACCATTCGAGCGAGCTTCAACTCTTCCTTAAGAGATCGAGCTTCCTGTCTGAGAAACTGCATTTCTGCCTCCCTCGCCCTCAGGATCACCTGAAACATACAGAACATGCTATAATTGATATGTTGTGTACAGTGTAATGGTATGGGAAATTAACATATGTTTACATTTTGTACAGGTTGGATAAATGACAGATAACAATAAAACAAAACAACAACTCAAGTTATGGATCAGTGAGGCCATATACAAAGCTCTTGTACCATTACACACAAATAAAAGTCATGTTAATCATTAAAGGTCCCATGTCATGCGTTTCCGGTTATTACCCGTCCCCTTGTGTGTTATGAAGGTTTTTCTGCATGTAAACGGTCTGCAGAGTCAAAACCCACAAAGTACACCCTGTAGCGAGTAAAACTCTAACAAAGAAAAGATGTGTCTATGCTGCCCCAGAACGCCTCGTTGGAGATTTCTCTTTTTCTTCCTGGGTACAGTGACGTGCCCATACCCAAATGGACCAATCCGTGTAGCCGTTACGTTACGTTCGCGGAGCCGTTATGACTTCCTCAAATACACAATCTTTTCTCAGCTGCAGCTCCGCCGATTTCTCCTCCCTGAGCACACACACCGACTCACAGCCAGGCTGCGGGTGTGTGTGTGTTCGGGCTGGGTTTCGCTGTGTCTCGCAGACGGCCACTGGGCTCATAGGGAGAGGGGGGGCAGGAGCTCCAACAAGTTGATTAGGACAGAGAGTGAATACACATACTATGCAGAGATGCTATATGAGAAACCAATGTGAGTTTGGAAAATTGCACAATATAAATCTATTTTAGTATACCTCAACAATGGAATTATGATCAGTAGAAATGGCCATGACATGGGACCTTTAAAAACAAAAACAGAATCACTGCTTACTTCTTCTTTTTTATGATTATGAATTGGGTTAAATAAAGGCTGTACTCTCTGTTTTCCAGACACTCACCTCCATTTCATAGAAGTCGTTGACTTGAGGGCCGACCTGGGACTGTTTCCCATTCAGTGAGAAATGCAGCTGAGACATTTCATCTGTCTCCCTCTGTAAGAAATGTCAGGAGACAGGAGACGGTGAATACAACACATTCTCTCAATGTTAAAATGAGGATCTTAATTGAATAAAAAGGAAGAATAAGGAGCGTCCCTTGGGGCTAAGAACATGTTGATACCTGTTTCTTTTTCAGCTCCTTGTTTTGTTTCTGGTACTGAATGGAGGACTGCCTCTCCTCCTGCAGCTCCTGGCTCAGCTGAGAGTGTTCCAGACATTTCTGAGTGTGCTGCACCGACAGCACCTGGAGCTCCTTATGCATCAACTGAAACTCCTTTCTGCAGAGGCATGATGTTGAACAGTAAAGTGACTATAGATTCAGAAAATAATCTTTTAAAGAAGTAGCAGGTAGATTTGGTTGAAATGGCCTTGTGTTACATTCTGAAATAGCTCTTGTGTGTGTAACTATGCAGGTATCAGCACCACGGACAGCAGTCAGTGACACAGGCTCGTTCATCACTAAATACACCATGAACCAGTAGCCCTGCTGCAATAAAAGCTGCAGTGCGATGAGTGAGATGTATGCTACTGTTTCTTAGGAGATTAATTGTAAGAGAAATAACAAAAACGCAGTAAAAGGAAAAGCAGCCACTTACTCATATTCAATTTGCAGTTGGGTGATGTCAGCGCTCTTGATGTGCTGAGACTGCCGGCTTTTCTCCAGCTCCACTTTATGGGCTCTTCTCATCGCTACAATAGCTGTAGAACGAGGTGAAATGTGCATCAACAAGAGGTGGGAGAAGCACTCACATCTTGTACTTCATGAGTAAAAGTACCAGAGAGTAGGAATACTCTGTTACAAGTAAAAGTCCTGCATTAAAAATGTTACTCAAGTTAAATTACACAAATATTAGCATCAGAATATACTTTAAGTGCCAAAAGTAAAAGTACTTATTATGCAAATGTTTCCATTTCAGAATACTATATATAATATGTTATATTATTATAATTGTTGATGCATTAAAGTGTTCTCAAAGCTGGTAAAGGTGCAGCTAGTTTGAATGACTCTGTATACTGCAGCTTGTGAATGTTACTCCAGGTGCAACTTAAGTCTTATTGAAGAGTTCTTTACATTTCACATAATTAATCCAAATATGCAGAGTAACTAAAGGTACAAAATAAATGTAGTGGAGTAAAAGTACAGTATTTACCTCTGAATTGTATGGAGTAGAAGTAGGAAGTAACATAACATGGGAATACTCAACTAAAGTACAAGTATCTCAACATTGTATAGTACTTGAGTAAATTAGTTACTTCCCAATGATCCACCTCTCGTCTCGTCTGTCTTCAAGCGGCTCTGCAGCCGGCTCACCTCTCCGTCCGCCTCGCCCAGCTGGCTCTGCAGCTCCTGACAGCACCGGTCCAGATGCCCCCTCTCATCTTGGAGTTTCTGCACCACAGACACCGTGCACGCCAGCTCCTCCTGAAGCTGCTGTTGAGCCTCCTCGATGTCCCTGGTCCACGTCTGAGTCTTATTCAGGCTGTCCACCTCCAGCTCAGACATGTCCAGTCTCCGCTGGAGTTCCTGCGTGAGTTGCTCTGCCTGCGCCAGGCTTGAGGCTAAGCTCCTGCGCTCTCGGTCCTGACTGGCTTGAAGGAGCATGAGGTGCTCCTGCAGGCGAGCCTCTTTCTGAGCCTGCGCCTCCTCATTGGCCTGAAGTTGAGTGGTCACCTCTTGGAGATGTTTGTGTAGGCGCTGAGCCTCCTGCTCCAGACTGTGGTAACTCTGCAACTCCTGCTGCATCTGTGTGGAGCGTGACACGGCATCCTTCCTCTGTCCCTCACTGGCACTCAGCTGGGACTTCAGCGAGGCCCTGCAGCGCTCCCACTCCTGCCGCTGCTCCATGAACTTCTGCCGGTCCTGCTCCAGGCGGGCCTGAGCGAGGGCAGTGGCATCGCCCGTGACCAGTATCTGAGCTTGTTGAGCTAAGAGGTCCACCCTTCGCCGTAGTTCTACTTCTCTTGTTTCTTCAAAGCTGCTCTTCTGATCCTCCAGCTCAAGGCGCAGGTCGTGGTTCATCTTATGAAGACGCTGTAAAACCAAAGCTTGTTCTGAAGACGAGTTGGAGTTTGAGAGGAGGTCGTTCTGCGGAACAAAGTGAGCAGTGTTAGTGTCAACTGTGCTTTCATGCTTATGGACAAGTAACTTAAAGGGGACTTATCATGCAAAATGCACTTTTGTACGTCTTTTATACATGAATATGTGTCCCCGGTGTGTCAGGGAACTCACCAAGTGTCAGAAAACACAACCCTGTCTCTTTTCCTCCATACCCCAAATCTCTAAAAACGGGGCTGCAATGGATCTGATACAGACTGATACAGATTTGAAATATCTCTGACGTCAGAAACAAGGAGCTCCGCCTATATGGGCAACTCTCCACCTATCAGGGGAATGAGAGGTTGCATGGCATGGTAACAGCATGGTAACAGCATGCTCGTGCCTCGCCCCCCTCCTTTGCAGGGGGGCGTGGTGAGCTGCAGCTCATTTGCCACAGAATCAGCCCTTGTGAAGGCAGGGCTGGAATAGAGCAAATAGAGCTAAATGAGGCATGGCTAAAATGCATGATCTGTTTGGTATTTTGAAAAAAAAACTTCACAGACATGTTTTATATAGGTATGGCCCTACAATATATTATTCAAATATAGCATGATAGGTCCACTTTAACTTCTAGGGTTTAACTTTCAAATTATCTGGCATCCTAGCTTGCCTTTTTTACAGAGCAATGTGTGTTTTTCGCAATATGGCAAATTACATTAGTGCATCCCCTTCAAACTTATTGCTACTTAAAGTGAAAATGTATGAATGTTATACCATTTCACTTGCATGCCTCGCTCTCTCTTGTTGCACCTCATCCCGCAGATTCCTGTTTAACTGCCGCAGTCGAGAGAGTTCCCTCTGTGTTTGCTCCAGCTGTAGAGAACATATTAAGAAAGCTGTCACACTAACTAGCATGCTTTGATTTATTCAGGTGAACATGCTTCAAGCTATTGTTTTTTTTACACACATACTCATTATTCATGTATAAAGAGTAACTATTGTAGTTTTTATCGTAGGTTTTTATTTAGAATATCACCTCTATGACAAGTGGCGCAGTTTGCTGCTTCTCCTTCTCCTTTGTGCTCTCAGTATTTGACTGCATTGTTGTGGAAGTAGAGCCGGCTCTTCCCTCAACACACGAAGACGCACCGGTCACACCTGAGGCGCAGAAAATGTAGTACTTTTGATATAAAATGAAACAATATGAAGTCGTTTTGTATAATATATTGGGGGAAATTGAATCATCGGCCAATAAAGGAACATTTATATTAATGTGTTATTATTATATGTACTTTAAGATATATATATTTATTATTACAAATTGTAGCAGATAGAGTATCGGGCAAATTGCCATCATTGACTCCAATAGATTATAATCCAACACTCAAGTAGAGAAAAATGTATTCATTATTTACAATAAAAGTTTAATTTTATCTACTTTACTAGAAAATATATATTTGTATTATAATAATGAAGACTGAAAACACCTATAACCTCTAAATGTACATTATTATGTGTTATAACGATGATGAAATAGTAGCCAATATTGTCCAAATTGCTGTCATTGACTTAACAGCAACAGCACGACAAGCTTTTCGTATGAACTTGACTAGAACAAATATGAATATAATATAAACGTAGAGGGGAAGCACCTTTACCTTCCACCACCTGCCCAGGAGGATTGATGGGAGACGGAGCGGAAGAGGCGGAGGGTGAGATGGGGGAGGCCAGATGAGAGGAGGAGATGGCAGGCGATGCAGAGCTTCCATCAGCAGAACGCCGCTCTGCCTCCGGCTGCAGGCTGGGCTCCTGGTGTTTCTGCTGCTCCTGTGTTTCCTCTGCACAGTCGCTGCTGCTGGGCTCGGGGTGTTCAGCTCTCTCCGGGCCCTCGGCTGAGTCTGGAAGCTGTGATTTTAGGGGAGTTTTCTGCTCTGAAAAGGAGCTGCGAGGAATAACAAAGAAATATGTTTTGACTATACGTCATATGCACCAACGTCTATAAAATATCTTGACATTAGTAAAAGTAGAGACCCTTTAACAACTTTATTGACCTTGTGACGTCAGAGGTAGGACTGTGCCTCACATTTTTCAACATTGCTTGGACCCAGTTGTGTCGCATAGAGGTCATGGCACAGAGCGTTTGCACCCCATCTATGGTCTGTGGGAAGAGAAATATCATTTATTATTACACACCTTAAAGTTGAGGAAGTGGATATGTTAGCTTTCCAGTTGAATGTTTGTGTTATGCTTTATTAAAGGTGGGGTAGGTAAGAATGGAGAAACCAGCTCGAGTGCGCTAGAATTTGAAAATACACAGCCGTAAAAAATCTGCCACTTCCTCACAGAGCCCCTCCTCCAACACACACAAACGCGCACATGACCAATGAGGGCACGAGATAAGTTTGTGCACAGATGGAAGGCTGACAGGCAGGTAGGCCATCCAGTTATTTTAGCCGGGCCGGCTCAGATGATTGGTCGTGCTTTTTACAGCACTACGGCTTCCACAGATGACATTTTTTTATGGATTTATTGTCAAAGATATTCATTGCTATCGGGATGTTAAGAGCATTCCATGTAATATAACAAAAAGTGTTTCTGAAGTGAATTACCTACACCTTTAACTTATCACAGTTTATTTCAAATTATGGATTTAATTGATTTACCCTCAATATTTTAGTCCCTTTACTCGAGCATCCAATGTGAGTTTTCTTAATTAAATATCTTTTTTTCAATTTAGATGTTTGGAAGACTTAGATAACATATACTGTAATAATGTGTAGAGGGTTTGTTCCCTACTGGTACATCCAATAAGACAACAATACAATATAACAACTAAGAAAGCAGAAATATTGGCAGTCTTGTATGAGGTTTTGTAAGAAGGTATTCATAAAGACACATTACCTGTTTCTTTACTTTGTTGCAGGTATGATAACATGCATAGGAGGGAGACTCCTGAAGCTCAGAGGAGCTGCTTGCTTTCATTTGCTCCTCCTCATCCGCATCGAACTGATCCTCGTCATCCCTTTAAGGATGGAAACATAAACAAGCCCAGCACTTTTACATAATTTGAAATATAGCACAACAGCAGCATTTCCTAAAGCAACAACAAAAAGTAAAACCTAGCGTTATCTGAGTTCTTTAAAACAACAAACCTGAGCTGCTCCTCCGAATAAGACAGCAGTTTATTTGCTGCAGTTGGTCCTTGTTTGACTGCATGCTCTGGATCTATTTCAGAGACAAAAGCTGTAAATCATACTTTTTCAGAAGCTCCTTTAGTTATATGTATCCATTCTTATTTCTAAAACCAATTAGCAACCACATTTAGATTTCTATACAAACATAGATGGACTTTAAAATAACTTAATTTGGATGCATATTCTGTCAAACATACCATCTCCCGTGGGTGTTTGGTCGAGCCTGTTGAGAGAGCGGCTGCTTCTCATGAAGGGCGCGACAGAAAGAGAGGAGCTATGGAGGGACGACAAGTTCCGGCTGCTGCAGAGGCGCAGAGCCTGTCTGCCGGGGCGAGACGCCGCTCGGGGCCCCTGGTGGACGACGCTGCCTCTCTTCAAACTAACACCAGCTTTATTAGCACCAGCCTTATTATCACTGGCCGCGTCTCACTATCTCTGGTGCCCAGGCTGTTGCTCCTTCCATAAGTAACGCTGGTTTTGCTGGCAGCCTGTTTACCTCCACTGGATGCAGGAACAGCTGCAGGTTCCTTTGGGAGAGACAACATAGGCTGAACCTCATTTCAAGTTTCAAGGCTTTATTGTCATATGCACATTAGCTACAGTGTAGATATGGCAATGAAAAACTGAAGTCCCAGGCTCCCCCAACAGTGCAACCTGTGACTTAAGTTGTTCATGGTCTGAGTAGATACCTCATAATTAAGACAGGATTGTAGGTGTAAAGTTCTGTATGTTTTTTGAGCCAAATATTGACCCAATTTAGTATTTCATAATAAACACTGTTTTGTTGCAAGTTAAGAACTGGGAAAGATAGGATAATTTAACCATGATACAACTCGTCCCTTTTAAAAAAAAGAATGAAACGGTAAAGTAAGAAATATTTGAAAGGTCACATGTTGCCTTATTGTAAGAGAATATTTTCATCTGATCTGTTTATAGAGTTTCTTATTGTTTTATAGAATCTGTGATACTGCAAACATCTGCTTGTAGTCAGTCAAAGACCCCTGTGTAGGTTGAGGCTTGTCTGGATCTCTTTGAGACAAGTAGACTATTGTCTCACATCTGCTACTAATTAGGTATACGCGGGCTTTCTGGGAGCCCGCCTCTCCTCGTGTTGGTTAGATGTTTTGTGTCTTTTGGGGCAGAGATTACCTTGGTGGAGCACAAGGACAGTGTGAAACTAGGATGATTTCCCGGCCGTATGTAATTGTCTGTCTCTCAATAAATATCAGTGTATTGACAGGTGAATCCAGTTTCCCTCATTTGATGATGCGCTCAACATTGCTGCAAATAAGTTTTAACTTCACAATTGGCGTCGCGAACGGTTACCAACAAATCGTCGAGCTGGTGAGTGTAATTTCAAATCTATATTTTGACATTGCCTCGCCAGACTCTGTGATTGACGGTATAAAATTACCTGTGGAACAGATAGATGCAATATTTTTGGTTTCCTCTGTGTGTGTGCACGGCAAACATTCGGAGAGACCTTAAAGAGGGCATCAGTAATGTGGAACTTCGGTTTAAAAGCAATGTAAAGATTTGTACTGAAACGAATCGCCGAATTCTGGAGATTTCAACGGTTTAACTAGTTAAATCAACTCGCCTCGAAATCACCCTGTTGCTGCTGCAGGAAGAGGGTGTGGGTAATTCCCCTCCCCCCCCCTGTGGGGAGCAGCACACGAAACAGAGCACAGTGTCTTATTATTTTTAAATCGCACCATTATGAGTTTTGGAACTAAACAGAACTCTTATTAACGGGAAACGTGATACGAAATATTACGTCACGCTGTGTTTCATAAACTGAGGGGTTGTTGAATTTGGCTGTTGTTAAAATAAAGGGTACTGAATTCATTAAAAGTCTCTGCCTCTCCGGATCGGGGAGGGCAGAGCACCACTAAATTAGCATAGTGGTTGCTGATTGAGAATAATGTGGTTATTACTCTTCAGCAGATTCCGTTCTTAGAATTAATTTAATTAATTAATATCTCTGCTCTCGGTCGGTTGAGCAGTTTTACCACTACATTTGCATAGTGGTTTTGATTGAGAATAAGGTCGTTTATTGCTCATCAACTGAATTAATGTTTAACAACACAGACTTGTATTTTCTGTTAATCACACCATAAGCTCAAGAACTAAATTGAGCTATTAAATGGGAAGGGTGGTGGCAGAATATTACATTCACACTGTGTTTAATAAATTTACGGATTATTGAATTGGATTTTGTTTAAAAAAAATAAATAAATAAAAATTTAAAAAAAACAATAAGTAAAAAATTAAAATTAAACTGGATGAGTTTAGCTGTCACCTGATATTTGTTGCGGGTTCATGTTTGTTTGTATAATTGTTTCGTGTTTGTTTGTATATGCCGTCTTGTGCATGTTTTTTAACAACTAATAATTAATCAGTCCACAGCCAAGGTAAAATGAATCTAAATTTCCGCAAAAGGAAAATAAATAGCAAAAAAAGCCTCTGTTTTACACCCGGGAACCTCAGAGGCATAACTGCGGGTCATCTGTCTGCTCAAATAGGTCAATGTTGTATTATTTGTTTCATTTATTCTTAATCTATGTATTGTATGGTAATAATGAAAATAAAATAACCTAATGTATTGAACACATTCCGAAACAAAGCAGATAAGACAAGACTTAGACACAATGGTGATTGAACCTTTTTGCACGATTGATGCAAAATGAAAACTTTGTCATTATCTGTTTCCAACTGGCCACTGGAATCAGATAATGGATATGAGTTGAAGTTCAATTACAGTTTTAAATATAGTTCAACATTCTTTATTTAACTGTTTGAAATTATTTCTAGTCAAAATCCCCTCCTTTTCTTAACTCTGCTTGGTGCTGCAGAAGAAGAAAATAAAAATAAAACGCAAGACACGGGGTCAGAGACAGGCGTGACCTCTGGAAGGAGAAGATAATCTGAAGCAGACCACGGCGCGACCCATTGGGGGTTTTATGACCACAGCACAAAGGAAGATCTAATTTCAGCAGTCAGTTTTTTTTGGCAGAACTTTTGAGCATTTTTAAAATGTCTTTTCTTGCCTCTGTGCAAGGCTTAGTCTTTCTATCTGTATAGCCACTGGTGTAAAGTAACTAAGTTCATAAACTTAACAAGTCCTATACTTGGGCACAATTTTGAGATACTGGTAATTTATTTGAGTATCTAAAATGTTTTGCTGCTTTATTTTTCTACTCCACTACAGTTCAGTGGTAAATGGTGTACTTTTACTCCACTACATGTATTTAATACCTTTAGTTACTTTCAGATGTGGATGAATGATGTGAAATCTAATCAAGTGTTTAATCAGACTTTAGTTCCACCTGGAGTGAATCCACCAGCTACCGTATGCAGTATACAAAGTACTTCAAACTAGCTGCACCTTCACCAGCTTTGAGAACACTTTCATGATCAATCATTATAAAACATATCATATATAGTATTCTGGAATAAACCAATCTGCACAACGACTACTTTTACTGTCGCTATTTTCACTATATTTTGATGACAATACTTTTCTACTTTTACTTGAGTAACATTTTGAATGCAGTACTTTTACTGTAACTTAGTATTCCTACACTCTGGTACTTCTACTTGTACTCAAGAACAAGATCTGAGTACCTAAGCTAACGTTAGCCAGAAACCTTCCATTTTGACACAAAGAACAATGGGGTAATTTCAAAGTAATTCGAAGTAATTCACACAGCCTCTTCCCTATGGGAGGAGCAGCAGGTTCAGCTTCATTTAAATATGTCGTGCAGTAATAGATGGATTTATTTTTTTCATCTCAAGAGAGAATGTGTATTTTATGTTAGTATTTCAAAAATCTCCTGGGGGAGAATCCCCCCAGACCCCCTGCGGGGGTTGGGTTTTCAGCATGTGAACTCTTTCACTTGTGAGGAAATGGCAGGATTGGCTCCAGGTCGCCTTTTTATTTACTACAAGACAAATGTTTTTATTTTATTTTAATTTCATACAGTTCAATTTGGATTGAGACAGGGAAATAATCTAAACCTCACGTGTGGCGTTTCACTGACAAGGGGGCGATATAGCGTGTATGTAATTACATTTCAAATACTGATTTGAGCCCCACCACTGTATGGGTTAGCCCTACCATAGATTATCTAACACAAATACTCGGGAGCCGATAAGTCAATAAGTTGCTTATCGCGACAGGCACACAATAAAACAGTGGAAACAAACATGTGTTTGACTTTCATTATTTAATGAAACTGTGTGCCCTTTATAGTCTGTGTCCAATATTGTGTATTTGTATATATATATTATATATATATATCCTAAATATATGCTAAGGTCCCGCTACGGACACGATAGCAGTCGCTTCGTGCGCATGTGTGTAATTAAACCCATGATATCAAAATCTCACTCCAGCCAGGTACCCAAAGTTAGCAACCCTGTCCATACCCCAATAATATTTTATTGATGACAAGTTTGCATCCCTGCCTGTTATCGTTTTCATCACGGAGCTGGAAAAATGGTGTATTGATTACTGATCTGTGCAAGTCCAATTTGTTAACTGACTTTGGTTCTAATGTTAATGTTAATTTGATTTCAACCCATAAGTAATTATTTAAATTAACTCAACATTCCACATGATGGATTAGTGTTCCACATTTTTCCCACTAATTTGTTTATGATTAGGCCAATGGTAAAGAGAGACTTGATGACCCTGTGTCCTTTTTGTTAGCACGTGGTTCCATTTTGTCTAATGGCGTTGGACAGCTTCACTAAGAGTCACCCAGTTCTACCCTGCTACAGTCCGGCTGAGTGCAGTCACAGAGATGCTATGGCTGCTCTACATGACATTAATGGTTTGGTCCGAGAATGGACACCATTTCCTGCTCCCAGAGAGAATGACGCTCCTCACACTGAACAATACAGCCATTGACACTGTCTCACGTGGGTCTGCTCCCCCCCACCGAGCCATGAACCGGAAGCTAGAAGTCTGCTCTGAACACTTGGAACTGTCACACCAGCACCAACCCTTGGGTCAGTTAGATGAGACTAACGGCTTCACTTAGGGCATATGGGTCAGAAATATGACTCTCGTTACCACGGAGTGGGTTGTTTGTTTTTTAAGGCTATTCATACTGCTATGCAGAGTGAAGAACCCCTACTATTTTAACAAATAGGCCTGTCAGGGGCCTCTTACTGTCTACTTCTGCATGTATTCACATTATATGGACCATGTTTACACCTGTTGAAACTAGGGCTGCACGGAACTCAGGCTACAATACAACC